TACATGCCTGTGGAAGGTAGGGTCCATTCGGGTGTCTTCCTCAGCTGCTGTCCTCACATTACAGATGAGTCTCTCGGGGAACCTGGAGCACACTGACACAGCCAGGCTGGTGGAGCCCCAGGGCCTCTTCGGTTTTCACTTGCGCAGTGCTGGGATTGCAGAGCTGTGCACCACTCAGTTTTTTACGCCAGTGCTGGTGCTCTGAGCTCAACTCCTGCATTTCTCCCACTGAGCCAACTCCTTGCCGCGTTTGAACATTTTCTTTTAAGAATTATTTCTAGCTGGGCGTTGGTGGTGTGTGTGTCAAAAGCACACCTAGATATCTGAGACGGTGAGACACCTCAGAAATAGAGTCTTACCTTCTACATGTTGGTCATGGGAATCGAACTCTGGTTGTCAGGTTTATCAGAAAGTGCCTTTATCTGCTGAGCCTTCTCATAGGCTGTACAGATAGTCTGTTGTTGGTGTTGTGGGGAGGGGGAGGAAGAAGACACTAAAAATAGGACCAGGGTTCAATGTTTGCCTCGGAATGTCTGTTAGCTGACAGCCCAGGATAGCCACTGCTTGAGCATGCTGTCTCTTGCCTGATGGGGCTTTTAAACCGCGCTTGTCCTTCTCACAGCCATCTGCATCATCCTGGTGCACCTGCTGATCCGGTACCGACTGCACTTCCTGCCTGAGAGTGTGGCTGTCGTTTCTCTAGGTAAGTGATACTGGCAGTCCATCCAGAACACCACACCATACACAACAGCGCCGTTTCTCCTGGGGCCACCTCGGCGCCAGGTTTGTAAGAGATGTGTGACTCTCCCAATTCCTGCCATCCTTTCCACAGCTCATCACAGGGCCTTAGAGTCCATTTTACTGTGTGTGTGTGTGTGTGTGTGTGTGTGTGTGTGTGTGTGTGTGTGTGTGTGGTGGGGATCTAAGAAGGGTGCTGACCTGGAGGCTCTTTCTGTAGCCCACTGCTTCTCACCGTGGCAGTGTCCGGCTCCACTTAAGTTGGCGGTTGGCACCTAGCTTACAGAGTCACTGTCGCAGTTAGAAGGGCCCTGGCTTTACAGCTGGCAAATGGCTCCTGTAGCACCAGAGCCTGCCCCCCCCCTCCCTCCCTCCCTCCCTTTTTGGGGCATTTCAGTAAAGGGTTAAAAAGCTACCTCAGGGAATTGACAGTTTCCTGGATAGTTTTTTTTTTTTTTTTTTTTTTTTTTTTACCATTTATTAAGAATAAATATTGGGGAGCTGGAGAGATGGCTCAGCAGTTAAGAGCACAGGCTTCTCTTCCAAAGGGTCCAGGTTCAATTCCCAGTACCCACTTGGCAGCTCACAGCTGTCTGTTGTTCCAGTTCTAGGAGACCAGATGCCCTCTTCTGGCTGCTTTGGGAACTGCACACAAGTGGTGCACAGACCTATATGAGGACAAAACACCCATTCTTATAATTAAAAAAAAAGAGTAAATATTGGGCCGGGTGCACACCTTTAATCCTAGCACTCAGGAGGCAGAGGCAGGCAGGTCTGTATGAGTTCGAGGCCAGCCTGATCTGTGTGTCAAGTTCCAGCACAGTCAGGGCTAAATAGGGCTAAATAGGGTCTGTGGGGGAAAAAAAGAAGAAAAATTGGCTGCTTTTACAGAGGGCCTGGATTCAGTTCCCAGCACCCACAGAGTAGCTCCCAACCATCTGTAACTCTAGTTCTAGAGGATCTGAAACCCTTAGGCAACAGACATGCTTGTAGTACACAGATACACATGAGGTAAGACAGCCACACATAAAAAATTTTTAAATGAATCTTTTTTAAAAAATAGGGGCAGGATAGGTTGCTCAGTGGTTAAGAGCACTTGCTGCTTTTCCAGAGGACACAGTTGGATTCAGAACCAGCTGTGGCTTCAGAGGGTCCAATACCTACTTGTGAGCATGTGCACACACACACACACATAGACTGTTAAATGTGGGCAACTGTGGCTCCCTAACACCAGCACTGGCCCTCGGGCTCTCAGCAGACATGCCTGCCTGGCAAGAGCCCTCTGCCACTTGTTTCTTGGAAATAGAACCTTATCTTATACTTGGATTTTGTTGCCGGGGACTGAACTCAGGGCCCTACAAGTGCTAGGTAGGTAGGTGTTCTCCCACTGAGCTATATTCCCACCACTTTTGGTTTTTCAAGACAGGGTTTCTCTGGGTAGCCCTGGCTGTCCTGGAACTCCTCTGTTGAACAGGCTGGCCTTGAACTCAGAGGTCCACCTGCCTGAGCCTCCCAAGTGCTGAGATTAAAGGTGTGCGCCATCACCCAGCAGAATTCTCATTCTGATCAGACATCTTTCTGTGGGATCCAAGAAGGAAGGGGTGCTCGGATAGTTTTGGTCTTGGCTATCGTGATATTACATGTTTCTTTGATGTGATTGGTTGAGAGGGGTAAGACAGTTGGACCAAATGGAAGTATGCCAGGATGGTAGGGTTTGGAAAACTTTTTCCTTCCTGGTGGAATCTAGAGAAGTTAGCCTCCCCTTCTTTTGATGCTGCAGTTGAATATACGATGCCTGGAGCACTGTAATCATCTTGTAAGTACATGGTTGAAAGACAAAGGCAGGTACTGAGTATGGCCAAGGGGACCGATGGGAAGGCAGGAGTCTCGGTTTATTATTGTTTTCTTGAACTGATGGCCCACAGTAACCTGGGGCTGGCAAGGTGGTTTGGGGGGGCAGGTAAAAGTGCTTGCTGCCAAGCCTTTAGTCTGAGTTTGATCCCCAGCTTCCACATAGGGTGGAAGGTAAAAACTGACTTGTTCAAGCTGTCCTTTAAGCTCTACATACTATAGCATGGATGCCCCCCCCCACACCATAAAATGAATTAATTTTTTTTAAATGTAAACAGCCCCTTTATTTATTTATTTATTTATTTTTTTGGTTTTTCGAGACAGGGTTTCTCTGTGTAGCTTTGCGCCTTTCCTGGAACTCACTTGGTAGCCCAGGCTGGCCTCGAACT